ATAGCTACTTGCCTACTTATATGGTGTACGCTAGTGTGTACACTGTACCACGCATCATTGTTAATGTTAAGAGGCCGTTTGGCAGCACTGTTTTTTGGCTTATCAGGCTTATCAGCCAACTTTTTCACCAAATACGTAACTTTTACTTTCGCGCGCTGAGTTGTGTAATAAGCAGAAAAAGTAGGGTTGGAGTTACTTTTCTGGCTGTTTTGGTTGAAGTTACTATAGATGACCATTATAGCTAGCTATTTTTACATACGAGTATAATTTTTCTTTATTTTATTAATAAAATATATTAAAAAAATAATTGTTTCTTAAATCAGCAAAATTAGCCAATGCAGCCACTTCAGCTAGAACTTCAGAAATTTCAACAGAATCAGCCAAAACAGCCGATTTTCTAAAAATAAAAAATGCTTTATTTTTCCAATCTAATGCAAGCACTCCAGATTCAAGAAGACTGTCAACTTAAATGCAATTAAGGTAAATACATACTAAATGATAAAGAGAAGTGTTAAATGATACTTGTGGTGAAAATCACGTCAAAAGTTTCATGGACTAAGTGATGTTTCATAACAAAGAAACACAGACACTTCAGTGAATCATTTTTCTTTATTCCATCATATTCCCAAGCCAAAAGTAGTGATTTTTTTGCTCCATTGCAATTGATGGAATGTAAATTTGTAGATTCCCTTAGAGCAACTAAGTTTCTTGTACGTGATTATTATATCAACAATATGAAAACCCTAGGTTACAGTTTAAATCATAAGACATGTAGGTGACTGGTTATTGAAATTCAAAAGTAGAAAGTTGTTTTTTATTAATGACAAGATACCAATATAAAATAAGAAATTGTGCTAAATAAGAGTAAAAATGTTTGTGAATTCCAAAATATGAAATGACAAAGATAAGTGTTAGATAATGCTATCTAGTAGCTACCCATGTTCAATTTTATATATCAATGCGGCGTTATTATGATTGTGTATGAAGATTTGTTAAAGATGAAGTCTTGAATTCTAGTGATGCACCACCCTCAATCATCAGCTCATTAGGTTGTATTAGTATCAAGATGAAGCTAAGGGTTGGAATGTTGGATGCAAGTCATGTCTGAAGCTAAGGGTAGGATGTTTTTACTTGGACTGTAATCTGTCCTAACCATATCAGACTAGACCAGATTAGAGCAGACCAGACCAGACCAGACTTGGATAATTATAAAAATACAAAAAGACTAGACATTACCAGACCAGATCAGACTAGCAAATCACAGTCCAAGTAAAAACATCCTTATTGCACATATAATATATAGGTCACAGAGAAAGAATAATATAACTATATAATATAAAGAAACGCAAAAAGAAATTGTAAAGGCAGCCACCAAATTGCTAAGTAAAGCCAAGTATATTTCACGTAAAATTGAGTTTATTTATAATTCCTATTATACCCATATTGAAAAATTAACCCAGCCTTGCCATCTTAGCCAAAGAAGAGCACGGTGGTTTCTGGAAACGTGAAGAAAATGTGAACACAGATTTGTAGGAGCAGAAAAGCTGCCTCTTCACTTCAGTAAATCGAAAGCAAATCAACATCAATCTCAAGTAGGAAAACACAATCCATGGATCAGGGGCGGACCATAGTACAGACCCAAAGGGGCTATCGCCCCTTCAAATAAAATTTCTAGTGTATATATACAAGAAAAATAATTTTCGCCCTCCAAAAAATATTTTGTTTAAGTTACCGTCCTCCCAATACAAATTTCCTGGGTCCGCCCCTGCATGCCATGCATAGTTTCATACTTGCATTTGAGATCGTTCTTTAGCAACTTCGCGCCAGCACGAGATGAGACGGGTAGACTATGAAGGGCACGCTCGTAGAGGGTGAATCGAATTGAAAGTGAAAATTAAGAGAAATGCTTCGTGTACACGGCGTTTTACACGCCCGTGTACACGCTATAAAATAGGGCCAAATTTTTACCTTCTTTCATTTACCCTCTCCTTCTCTTTCCAGTTTCCACTCCAATTCCTCCCTCCTCTTCCTCTCTTACGCTAACCCTCTCCCCTGTTGTCTCTATCGTTTTTTCCCTTCTTCTTTCCCTCTGGTTCTTTCTCTTTTCTTTCTCTTGGACTCCCTATCTCAAAACGGCAAGCTCATCCCCTGTTCCGCCTCATTACCGGAGAATCACATGGTATTAAATCTCTTCTATTTCTCTATTGTAGATTTACAGTTTCGAATTTGGATTTTGCATATGAAGTGAAAGGATTTCTGACGTTTCTTTAATTTTTAATTATACTTTTATGCTTAAAATTTGACGTTCCTTTTTTTAATTTTATTTGTACAAAATATGTTGTGGTGATGTTGATGAATGTTTATTACAATATAATATTAGTATGGATTTGTTATAATTTAAAATTTTATTCAACCATTATAGCTCACTTTTATGCCTATTAAGTGTTTGTTGAAATGCTTCAATGAGATGTAACTATGTATAATTGATTTTTAGCTTTAATTCAGTTTATGGTTTTACTAAGATGTCTGTGTAGTTTGTTGTTATACGTTTGTAGATTTTATAGTTGTCTTTATGGTTTTCCTGAGACGTCTGTGTAGTGTGTTGTTATATGTTTATGCATTTTTTAGTTGTCTGTGCGTTTTACCTGAGACGTCTGTGTAGTTTGTTGTTATACGTTTGTGGATTTTATAGTTGTCTTTATGGTTTTCCTGAGACATCTGTGTAGTGTGTTGTTATATGTTTATGCATTTTTTAGTTGTCCGTGCTTTTACCTGAGACGTCTGTGTAGTTTGTTGTTATACGTTTGTGGATTTTATAGTTGTCTTTATGGTTTTCCTGAGACATCTGTGTAGTGTGTTGTTATATGTTTATGCATTTTTTAGTTGTCCGTGCGTTTTACCTGAGACGTCTGTGTAGTTTGTTGTTATACGTTTGTGGATTTTATAGTTGTCTTTATGGTTTTACTGAGACGTCTGTGTAGTGTGTTGTTATATGTTTATGCATTTTTTAGTTGTCCGTGCGTTTTACCTGAGACGTCTGTGTAGTTTGTTGTTATACATTTGTGGATTTTATAGTTGTCTTTATGGTTTTACTGAGACGTCTGTGTAGTGTGTTGTTATATGTTTATGCATTTTTTAGTTGTCTGTGCGTTTTACCTGAGACGTCTGTGTAGTTTGTTGTTATACGTTTGTGGATTTTATACTTATCTTTATGGTTTTCCTGAGACGTCTGTGTAGTGTGTTGTTATATGTTTATGCATTTTTTAGTTGTCTGTGCGTTTTACCTGAGACGTCTGTGTAGTTTGTTGTTATACGTTTGTGGATTTTATAGTTGTCTTTATGGTTTTACTGAGACGTCTGTGTAGTGTGTTGTTATATGTTTATGCATTTTTTAGTTGTCCGTGCGTTTTACCTGAGACGTCTGTGTAGTTTGTTGTTATACATTTGTGGATTTTATAGTTGTCTTTATGGTTTTACTGAGACGTCTGTGTAGTGTGTTGTTATATGTTTATGCATTTTTTAGTTGTCTGTGCGTTTTACCTGAGACGTCTGTGTAGTTTGTTGTTATACGTTTGTGGATTTTATACTTATCTTTATGGTTTTCCTGAGACGTCTGTGTAGTGTGTTGTTATATGTTTATGCATTTTTTAGTTGTCTGTGCGTTTTACCTGAGACGTCTGTGTAGTTTGTTGTTATACGTTTGTGGATTTTATAGTTGTCTTTATGGTTTTACTGAGACGTCTGTGTAGTGTGTTGTTATATGTTTATGCATTTTTTAGTTGTCCGTGCGTTTTACCTGAGACGTCTGTGTAGTTTGTTGTTATACATTTGTGGATTTTATAGTTGTCTTTATGGTTTTACTGAGACGTCTGTGTAGTGTGTTGTTATATGTTTATGCATTTTTTAGTTGTCTGTGCGTTTTACCTGAGACGTCTGTGTAGTTTGTTGTTATACGTTTGTGGATTTTATACTTATCTTTATGGTTTTCCTGAGACGTCTGTGTAGTGTGTTGTTATATGTTTATGCATTTTTTAGTTGTCTGTGCGTTTTACCTGAGACGTCTGTGTAGTTTGTTGTTATACTTTTGTGCTTTTTTGAAGTGTGTACACAGACAATATTTTTGAACGTTTTTGCAAATATGTTGTAAAGTATGCAAATGAATGCAATTGGGTCTGTTCTTGTGCACGTTCTTTAGGCTTATATAACTTTAAATATAGCATTATTATGTTTTTAGGCGGCACATATAAGCCTAAATGGATGCACATTCAGGTTTAATAGTTGTAATGATTTTTATTTTCTTGACAGGAACTATTGATGCTCTTTGCATGGCGGGGATGATGAACCTTCGATACATGTGTTTGATAAACCGAATGATGGCAGAAAAAGGATTGAGGAAGTCAAGAATGAGAGATTTTGAATACATGATAACTAAATATTTTATTCTTGTAACTAGCTATATTGTAAAATTAAGGTTCTTGTGTTTAGAATGATAGTGTAATTGAAGTTGCTAATGTCTACAATGTATGTTTTGTGTTATGAAAATGAAGTTGGATGTTTTGTGTTGGACACATACAATTGTCTATGTATTTCCTTATTTTGTCTGTGTGTAATTGAAATAGCATCTGTCATTGTTTATATTGTCTGTGCAAGATTAAAACATTGTCTGTTCGTTTGTTTTGTCTGTACATAGATAATAATTGTTGTCTGTGTATTCATATATTTCATCTGTGTGAGATTAAAACATTGTCTGTTCATGTACTTTGTCTGTTAGATGAAGAGTTTAGATGAATATGATATTACATGTCTGGTCACAAACAACATTTATTAGAATGAGTTAATGTTTTAAGTAGAATTGTCTGTCAACTAGACAAATGTGTCAGTCACATACAATAGCCATAGAAATGGGCTTATGTGGTAAGTGAAGTTGTCTGTGAACATGATATGTAGTGTTTGGTTACAAATACACATATATTTTGCATAATATACATCCATAATGAGACTAAGATTACTAATTCACCTTTCATAATTCAACATTGTTTAAAAACACAATTTACTTCACCAATATTGAAAGTCGTTTTCTTTTTCACACGACAAAAACACACATCTTTGAGAATAAAATCACTCCAAATACAATATCATTCTAAATGTAAAAACTTTAACTTTACTCCAAATACAATATCATTCCAAATGTAAAAACATTAAATTTACAATATAAGTAATTACAAACATAAATCCTTTATTATCCTTTGCTTTGAAGCTCTCATGCAAACATGTAAACACATGTTTCGAAGGTTCATTATCCCCGTCATGCAAAGAGCATAAATAGTTCCTGTCAAGAAAATAAATCATTACAACTATTAAACCTGAATGTGCATCCATTTAGGCTTATATGTGCCGCCTAAAAACATAATAAAGCTATATTTAAAGTTATATAAGCCTAAAGAACGTGCACAAGAACAGACCCAATTCCATTCATTTGCATACATTTTACAACATATTTGCAAAAACGTTCAAAAATATTGTATGTGTACACACTTCAAAAAAGCACAAACGTATAACAACAAACTACACAGACGTCTCAGGTAAAACACACAGACAACTAAAAAATGCATAAACATATAACAACACACTACACAGACGTCTCAGGAAAACCATAAAGATAAGTATAAAATCCACAAACGTATAACAACAAACTACACAGACGTCTCAGGTAAAACGCACAGACAACTAAAAAATGCATAAACATTTAACAACACACTACACAGACGTCTCAGGAAAACCATAAAGACAACTATAAAATCCACAAACGTATAACAACAAACTACACAGACGTCTCAGGTAAAACGCACGGACAACTAAAAAATGCATAAACATATAACAACACACTACACAGATGTCTCAGGAAAACCATAAAGACAACTATAAAATCCACAAACGTATAACAACAAACTACACAGACGTCTCAGGTAAAACGCACAGACAACTAAAAAATGCATAAACATATAACAACACACTACACAGACGTCTCAGGAAAACCATAAAGATAACTATAAAATCCACAAACGTATAACAACAAACTACACAGACGTCTCAGGTAAAACGCACAAACAACTAAAAAATGCACAGACATATAACAACACACTACACAGACATCTCAGTAAAACCATAAGCTGAATTAAAGCTAAAAATCAATTATACATAGTTACATCTCATTGAAGCATTTCAACAAACACTTAATAGGCATAAAAGTGAGCTATAATGGTTGAATAAAATTTTAAATTATAACAAATCCATACTAATATTATATTGTAATAAACATTCATCAACATCACCACAACATATTTTGTATAAATAAAATTAAAAAAAGGAACGTCAAATTTTAAGCATAAAAGTATAATTAAAAATTAAAGAAACGTCAGAAATCCTTTCACTTCATATGCATAATCCAAATTCGAAACTGTAAATTTACAATAGAGAAATAGAAGAGATTTAATACCATGTGATTCTCCGGTAATGAGGCGGAACAGGGGATGAGCTTGCCGTTTTGAGATAGGGAGTCCAAGAGAAAAAAAAAAAAAAGAGGAAGAACCAGAGGGAAAGAAGAAGGGAAAAAACGATAGAGACAACAGGGGAGAGGGTTAGCGTAAGAGAGGAAGAGGAGGGAGGAATTGGAGTGGAAACTGGAAAGAGAAGGAGAGGGTAAATGAAAAAAGGTAAAAATTTGGCCCTATTTTATAGCGTGTACACGGGCGTGTAAAACGCCGTGTACACGAAGCATTTCTCGAAAATTAATCACCTATAATATGAAGTGAATTTAATGAATTCAATGTCAAAATACTATTTTGTGATGTTTTCTGACTTTCTCCATGTGCCATTGCCCAGATTCGAAATCTATTACAGAAAGCTCTTACTTTACAGAGGAAGAGGCAGAAAAAGTTATGAAAGTGGCTGAAACTTGAAATTGGGTGGGTAAAACTAATATAGAAGATGCCCTTAAGATTGGGTTCTTGTGCATGAGAGCTTGAGGTTATTGAGATTAATTACTATTAAGATTACTATTAAGTATGTATACATGGGTACATGTGATGGATGACCCATGCATTATTCTCTCATATCATTCACACCACCTATTGTAATATCTATATATGTAGCATGCATGCCATGGAAGATACAAGTTACGTATCATTCCTTTTACATGAAGTCTAGCTCTCCAAATATTAGCTCTTATTTTTATCATTAGTTTTATGTCAATTTTAACATTATATCAGAGCCAAAACCTGGAAATCGCAATACTAGTTATTTTTGAGATATTTCATTTTATCTTCTCCTCATATCAACGTGATGAGAAAGTCGCATAACACCCGTGCGTGGATAATTGATTCTGGAGCAAGTGAGCATATCACTTGTGATAGTGCAAATCTTTTCAACATTCCTACTCGACCTTCCGAACTAGGAGTACGAATTCCTAATGGGGAATTAGTTCCAGTTTCTTCCATTGGTAGCCTATACCTGTCTAATGGACTTTATCTTCGCCGTGTTCTTTATGTTCCGCAGTTTCAATTCAACCTACTCTTCGTTAGTCGCCTCACAAGTGATCTGAATTGCACACTCACATTTTTCTCAGACTTCTGTATATTACAAGATTTATCCTCCAGAAAATTAATTGGTAAGGGTGAATTTCATGACGGACTTTATTACCTGGAATTACCGAGGGATCAAAAGGTAGCAATGGGAGCTACTCTTGATTCTAATTTATGGCACCGGCGTTTGGGACATGCCTCAAATGGGAAATTGCAACACATTTCATTTCTCAAAGGTTTGCAACAAAGCAATAGCTTTTGTGATCCCTGCTTACGAGCTAAACAAACTCGATTACCATTCTCCAAAAGTACAAGTAAGGCTACTTGTTGTTTTGAATTAATTCACTGTGATACATGGGGAGGTTATAGGTGCGACTCCACTTCAGGAGCATGTTATTTCTTGTCTATAGTTGATGATTTTTCTAGAGGCGTTTGGGTTTATCTCATGAAAAATAAGTCTGAAGTTTGCCAAAAATTGATACAGTTCTGCAATCTTGTAGAAACTCAATTTGAGAAACGAGTTAAACGGATATGTTCAGATAACGGATTGGAATTCAAAACCAATTTTTTATCTGAATATTATGCTCGTTGTGGAATTGTTTTGGAAACATCGTGCACATACACCCCCCAACAAAATGGGGTTGTGGAGCATAAGCATAGACATATATTGGAGGTTGCCAGGGCACTCTGTTTTCAATCAGGATTACCGATTTATTTTTTGGGGGGAATGTATTCTTACTGCCGTTTATATTATCAATCGGCTACCGTCGCCCATTATTTTAAACAAAAGTCCTTATGAGATGTTGTTTGGGAAGGAACCTTCTTATGAACATCTCCGCATTTTTGGGTGCTTGGTGTATGCGCATAACAACAAAAGGAAAGACAAATTTAGTGAAAGAGAGAGTCCTTGCATATTTCTTGGGTATCCCTACGGTCAAAAGGCATATAAAGTGTTTGATTTGCAAAAACAGAACATTTACACCTCTAGAGATGTAACCTTTATTGAGAGTGAATTCCCTTTTAAAATGATAAATCAAGAAGGGCATGATTTTGGGGATATTATTGACCGTGTATATCAAAGTGTTGCGGGCCATAGAAATGCATCCAGCGTTGAAACTCATCACCGATTAGAAGTTCACCATCCGAAAACTTCAATAAGTGTGGAGCCAGAAGACACATGTTGCTATCCTCTCACAGAGGAGTACATACGTGGACCCCAGCATTATTCAGGAGCTCCCCCTCCTTCACGTAATTACAGTGTTCCAGTATGCAGGGCACCAAGCCAAGTCGGCCAACCTGGAACGGGGAGCAGCACCTGCAGGGACGATGCTGGCGCAGATGGCGGGACAACTCCTTGCCAGGTCTCACCCACTCGGCATCAACCTCCTTCAAACACGTACCAACCTTCGGACAATGCTGGTCTGGGAAGCCGTACGCATACAGCAGGTGAAGACACTGATGGTGGGCCAGCCTTCCGTCCATCCTTACCTGATGGACAAGAACTCTCTCATACATCTCCTTGCCAACCAAATTTATCTTTAGACGGTGACTAAAATCTGGAACCACGTGAAATGTGTACTGATCGATGAATCTTCATCCACCGGTGAAATTAGAAGGGGCACGAGGGCTCGCCGACCTCCTAAACACCTCTCTGAGTATGATGTTGATTTTCCGTCCTGTTTGGACATTCCAAAGTCAACCTCAAATCAAAGTGACACAGTATTACATCCAATTTCTAATTTTATTAGTTACGAGAGGTTTTCTAATAAACATAAAGCTTTTTTGACAGCTATCACTTCACGTGATGAACCAAGACAATTTTCACAGGCTATTTTAGACCCTATGTGGCAAGAGGCCATGCAAAGGGAGATCCGTGCCTTAGAAGAAAATGGTACCTGGACGTTGGTGCCGTTGCCGCCGGGAAAGAAACTAGTAGACTCTAAATGGGTCTATAAAATAAAATATAAACCTAATGGTGATGTGGAACGCTACAAGGCAAGACTAGTAGCCAAAGGCTTCACACAAGTCGAAGGAATTGACTTTCATGAGACATTTGCCCCAGTTGCCAAGCTCGTCACAGTACGTTGTCTGTTGGCCGTTGCAGCAAAACGAAATTGGGAAGTACATCAATTAGATGTCAACAATGCTTTTCTCCATGGAGACCTTTCCGAAGATGTTTACATGCGTGTTCCTCAAGGATTTACTAAGGATGGTGACTCTCGTGTTTGCAAATTACAAAAATCTCTTTATGGCTTGCGCCAAGCATCACGAAATTGGTACCATAAGTTTACTCAGTCACTCCTAAACGTCGGATTCCGTCAATCACGGGCAGATCATTCCTTATTCATTTTTGAGCAGGGTAAGAATCACACTTTTGCTCTCATTTATGTTGATGACGTCATCCTAGCAGGAAATGATACAACTCATATTAGCCGTGTGACACCGCACCCGAACGTCCTTGAAAATTCGATTTAAAAATTCAAAAGTGATGTATTGAATTTCCGATTTCAAAGCAATGGAAGAAACGATTAATATTTTACGAAGTACATGATTGAATATTGTATTGTTCAAACCCGCATTCTTTTGTAATTTTCATCATGTAAATTATTGGGATGAGCCTACACATATTGGAGATCAATAATGTGATTTAGGAAGTTGACTTGCTCTAAATAAATTAGAATGAGTACAAAAAAGGACATCTTTTGACAAAGATAAAACAATAGGACCCATCTTCCCATTTTTGGAAGTATTGGTAGATATTTTGGACCCCAAATTAAATGGGATCATTTGGGAACCATCCCACATGACCTTGGTACCTGCAAAGACAAAGAAAAATGGACGAGACAACTATGTGGGGCGGACTTTTGACTCATGAGCTACAACATTACAAAAAGGAAATAAAAGAGGAGGTCCATACCATGTTTGATTGCAATCAAATACCCCACCTTTCTTTTTGTGAACCACATGCTCTCTTAGCATGATTGAGGCCTTCCTAATACATTTCCCCTACACCCCATTCGAACTCCCAAGATAAGAGAGAAAGAGGGAGCCACATATTCCAAGGGAGAAGAGAAGAGAGAAGCTGGCCGCAGGATTCGTTTTCCAGCCGATAGGGTCTCTTGTTTGATCCATAACTTGAGCTTCACTCGTCCAAATAAGGCGTATGATATACCAAAAGAAAGCTCTCAAGACGAGGAATCTGTGAAGGCCTGGTTTGCAGGAATCGGAGTTGTGGAAGGCTTCCAAATCGTCCGAGAAAAACGCAACCTCGCAGGAGAGGATTTAATCTTCTAAAGTGAGTTTTAACCCCAAAGCTTTACTTTTCATTCTCCAAATGATATGAACGATTGGTGAGACTATTATACACTAATCCAAGTGTATAATATGTCCTTATAAAGTTATTTTATTTATGTAAAGGTTAGATACTAACCTAGATGCAAATATTGGAAAACTAGGAATCGAGTTAGCCGGAAAACACCCGTTCTAGGGGCTGTTTTCGTATCAACGATTAAGGGTTGAACTAGCACTTTGAGGAGGCTGTTTAACACTCATATTTGAGCAAGGAATCAGTCCCAAATCCACCTTGACCAAAGATTTGACCATTGGACCAAGAAGGGAAAGTTTAAAGCTCAATTGAGGTGAGGATTGACATCTAATTGCTTACAACTTGTAGGTTAAGCATGAGATTACCTAAATGCTTAAATCATTATTTTTCATGGATTATGATGATTATATATTGATGAAATATTGATATAGTTGCCAAAGAATGAAATTTGAAATGATTTGAGAATGTATGAATATTATGAGATTAAATGAGTATAAATGGACTATTTTTGTGAAATAGGCATTTTGCTCATGTATGAATTATGTGGTTACATAAATGAATATTTGTGTATTGAGAGTGAATACTTAAGTTGCTGCTACATAACTATAAATATGTAGAGAATTACAAATAATGAGGATAATGGTATGATAACAATAATCTTAATAGTATTGAAATACTAGTTAGTGATTATTGGAACTTGTTGATTTAATTGATCCTAGGGATTGGATTGTATGAAAGATACTTGAATATAGTTCAAGTGTATATGATACTTAGTATGGAACTAAGGTTAAGTTATGGGAAGTCTTTAAGGATGACCCATGGTAGTTTAATGATATGTCAATTCTAGGCATAGGGTTGCTTGAGAATTGGACCTTAATGCATGGTGATGTGATAGAGCCGAGCTCTAGAATGCATGTAAGGTGTAGACTTGGAGTCTATGTATTGTATAGCTAGAGCCGAGCTCTAGGACTTGCGTGGTGATGTGATAGAGCCGAGCTCTAGAACGCAAGGTAGGAAAATTGACCCGAGGTATATGAATTGTATGGTGATGTGGTAGAGCCGAGCTCTAGAATACAATGTCATGTACTAGGGTTGGACTCTAGGAGTTGTCGTGGCTTATAGTCACGGGGTTGGGAATGGTGATTTCCAAATGAACATGGGCCCACGGGCCGGCTACTTGACTTTTATATAAAGTAAGTATATTTTTTTAAACGGGGTAACTTAGGGTTACAATCATAATGTACTATCACCCTATTTGAGGGTCTTGTGTTTGAAATACTTGTTGTATATCTATTAGATGCCTGCCACACCAGCACTTTATAGCCGTATAGAGTGCTGACCCCTTCGGGGGCGTCCCACCACCATTTTTCAGGTTGAGGCTAGAGCTTGCTTCCTGTGCTCGTTGCTCGAGAGATCATCTAGGAGCGAAGACTTGGTTCGTGCTTCCTCCATTCGGATTTTAAACATTAATAAACATGCTCATGGATATTTTATTATAGAGCCTGCGTGCTCATGAATAGCCCTATGTGGCCCTTTCGTTTTAAACAATGTTTTCCGCTGCTTTATGAATTACTTATTTTGTTGTTTATGGATGACTTATGTGTGAATGATATTCATGACGCCTTGTATAATATGAATGTGTTGGACTGCGGTTGACTATTCGTATTGTACGGCGGGTTGTCGACGTGTCCGGGGAGGTCCGGGGCGTGACAATTAAGTTGGTATCAGAGCCTTAGTCCGTAAACTTCATAATGAAGTCTCAAAATCCTCTTTTTGAAAAGATTTTGAAAACCATGAGCATAGAAGTTTTGTACTTGGAGAGCTTTTGGTACTTGGGTTGCAAGGTCTCTAATTGTTAAGATGGTACCCTTAGCAATTGGTATGGCGGTGACTCGAGCCAAAATGTGTCTTAAGTACCTATCCGTCAATTGACATTTGATACGAGTCTAACGACTCTTTCCAAATTTCTTTCAGAAATGGACCGTGGTGGCAAGGTAACTAGGAGGAACCCTTTGGGCCGTGCACCCGAGGAGACTGGGCAAGGCAGTCGTAGGACCTCTAGGGCATCTAGAGGAGCGGGCCGTGGAGGCCAATCACGGACCGTGAGTGACGGTCATGTGAGCACCGAAAGTGACAGCTACTGGTCCTATGAGGACTCGACCTATCGGCCAAGATTGTTAAAATCTCGATTTAAATCGTAAAATCGTACGATTTTACGATTCTACATTAATAAAGCGATTCAAATCGCAGGTAAAATCGTAAAATCATAAAATCGTACAAAATCGTAAAAAATCGTCCTAAAATCGTGTAGAATCGTATAAAATCGTAGCAAAATCGTAATAAGTTGTTTTTGGTGAAAATGGTTCAAATTTATTAAAATTAACAACTACAAATTGATACATAATTCCAATAATAATAATATGAATAGTTTATTTATAAAAGTAATGGATTCTTGTGTTACTTAATTATTTTTATGTTTTACATATGTTTAATGTTATTATTCAATACATTTACATTATAAAAACAGTTTATAAATCTTGCTTTTAACATTTTAGGTATAGTTTTATGTAATGAAATGATATAATATCATTAACTTGCAACTTAATTTTAATATTTATTTATTTTATAATTATTAAAATATGTTTGGTAAAATCTTACGATTTGCGATTCGATTTTACGATTCGATTTTTAAAAACATCTACCGATTCGATTCAAAATTACGATTTTAACAACCTTGCTATCGGCCGGAAACAGAGCCGGTTGAAACCCCTTATGAAGGGGATGATGATGATGTAAGTGATGAGGAGGACAACGGCTCCTTAGCGCGGATTGAGGCACTACTCCAACAATATCACCGTGAGCGTGAAGAGAGGAGGGAACGCCGAAGGCGCCGGGCTGGGCAACCTTCGGGCATGGCTTCACGAGGAGGAAGTCATGGTGCATCTAGAGTCCATGTGGAACCACGTGGAGGCCAAAATGATGGAGGTCCAACCATAAGGATCTCCAAATACATCAAAGAAGCAAGAGATTTGGGGTGCAAACCCTTTGATGTAGCAGGGGACATTTCAGTGGCAGCACAATGGATCAAGAGGCTAAATGAAGCGGCCCTTGACATGCAAATCGCGCCGAATCTCAAACTGAGAATTGCGGTAAGATTGCTCGAGGGGATGGCATCCAAGTGGTGGGATGGAACCAAGAACAAGTACGGTGAGACCGTCGTTTGGGAGGACTTCCAACGGGAGTTCTTTGCCCAATACTATTCTGATTTCGAGGTGAATAAGAAGGTGAGGGAATACACCCTCCTAACCCAATGGGGTAACATGTCAGTGAAGGAGCTTGAGTACAAGTTCCGGGATCTCGCCGACTACATACCGGAGTATGCTTGTGACGAGAACCGCATGGTGAACCACTTTTGGGACGCTCTTGACTTGGAGATACGTGATAGGGCAACGCAATTGCCTAATATGACTTTCGCCCAAGTGGTTGAACAAGCATTGAAAGGGGAGAAACAGTGGGAGGAACGGAAGAAGAGAGACGCCGAAGAGGCGAAAAAGAGAAAATGGGAGAGTCATGGCTCCCAAGGTTCCAACAAAAGGGGGAACCACGGAGGAGGATCTTTCCGGGCACCACCGCCACCATCAAGGGGGAACCAAGGCCCAAGTGGGCAAGGCTCGAGGTCACAGACCTCAGTGGTAACTCGTTGCAACAATTGCAAGAGGAACCATTCCGGTAAATGTCGCGACCCCCCCTAGATGTTTCCAATGTGGGGATGCCGGGCATTTGAAGGCACATTGCCCACAACTGGGCGGGGCAAGGACATCGGGACCAAGTAGTGGCCCGACGGGTACACGGAATCAGACCGGGGCTTCTCAAGCACGTAGGGGGCAAGGGGGAGCAAGTGCGAGCAACGCGCCATCCGTGAACCAAGGGAGGACCCAGGCTAGGGTCTATGCGATGACGGAGGCGGATGCTCAAGCTAACCCGGACTCCGTTGCAGGTATTGCCTCTCATATACTAGTGTTTTATCCTTAATTAGTCCATAAATTGAGGATACTAATCGCTAGGATCATTGCACGAGGTTTTGGGGTCGAACCGGGGGATTTCGGGCAACTTCAGGCGGCTGGGACCCAGGCACGATCGTGCCTAAGGCAGACACGATCGTGCCTCCAAGTCAGTAGCTGCCCAGGAATATTCCCAGCCCAGGCACGATCGTGCCTAAGGCAGACACGATCGTGCCTACAAGGCAGTAGCTGCCCAGGGTTTTTCTCCAAACCAGGCACGATCGTGCCTAAGGCAGACACGATCGTGCCTCCAAGTCAGTGGTTCCCAGGATTTTTCCAACCCAGGCACGATCGTGCCTAAGGCAGACACGATCGTGCCTCCAAGGCAGTAGCCCCAGGGCGTTTTCCTGAGCCAGGCACGATCGTGCCTACCCCGGGCACGCCGTGCCTGGCACCCAGATTGCCGAAACCCGATTTTTTCGCATCGTTTTGCGACGTTAAGGCCTCTTCTTGATCTCTAACGTGCGTGTGAACATTGCAACCTTCTATAAATGAGTAGGGAGGATAGGAAAGATGTCTTACATGGTTCATGAATGTAAGGACACTAAAGATTAACGGGAAGGATGCACGAATCCTTATCGATACCGGAGCGCAACGTTCATTCGTGAGTGAGGCGTTTGCCGAGAGCTTAGAGATGCAATCAATACCAATGACACAAACCTTAGTGGTATCAACCCCACTAGGGGAAGACGTTGAAAGAAACAATTACTATCCATCTTGTATGGTGGAAATCGGTGGCCAAACCTTGACGTGTGATTTCGTACCGCTGAGTATGATGGAGTTCGATGCAATCCTAGGGATGGATTGGCTAGAAAAGCATCATGCTAGGGTAGATTGCTACACAAAGGTGTTGGAACTCGAAGGCACACATGGGGACACCCTACGCTTCGAGGGGGACCGCGGCAAATCAAATTGTTGTATCATATCCGCCGTGAGAGCGAGAAATATGATGAGGAAGGGATGCCACGCATATCTAGCATACGTGGTTGACAAAACCAAAGAGGGAACGAACATCGATGATGTGAGGGTGGTTTGTAAGTATCCGGATGTCTTCCCTAAAGACCTACCGGGGCTTCCACCTGACAGAGAGATTGAATTTGTGATCGAGGTCGAGCCTGGTACCAAACCAATCTCCATACCGCCATACCGGATGGCACCCGCTGAACTTAACGAGTTGAAAACCCAATTGCAAGAGCTTTTGGATAACGGTTTCATTAGACCAAGCCACTCCCCGTGGGGAGCACCGGTTCTTTTTGTGAAAAAGAAAGATGGGACACTTCGAATGTGCATTGACTATCGTCAACTGAACAAGGTCACAATCAAGAATAGGTATCCGTTGCCTAGGATTGATGACTTGTTTGATCAACTACGAGGAGCAACCGTGTTTTCGAAGATTGACTTAAGGTCGGGGTACCATCAATTGAAGATTAAGGAAGATGACATACCAAAGAGTGCTTTCCGCACAAGGTATGCGCATTTTGAGTTCCTTGTTATGTCGTTTGGGTTAACAAACGCCCCGGCGGCATTCATGGACTTGATGAACCGAGTATTTCATAAATACTTGGATCGATTCGTGATTGTGTTCATAGATGACATCTTGATTTACTCAAAGAGTGAAGAAGAGCATGAGGAGCACTTGATACTTGTTCTTGAAACACTACGGGAGAAGCAACTCTATGCCAAATTTTCTAAATGTGAATTTTGGCTAAAGGAGATTGGCTTCCTCGGGCACGTGGTTTCGGGATCGGGGATTGCTGTTGATAACAAGAAGATAGAAGCCATTACTGAATGGGAGAGGCCAAAGAACGTCAAGGAAATTCGTAGTTTCCTTGGATTGGCAGGCTACTATAGAAAGTTCGTGGAAAAGTTCTCTGTTTTGGCATCGCCATTGACGAAGCTCACTCGTAAAGGAGCTAAGTTTGTATGGGATGACAAATGTGAGAAAGGGTTCATGGAACTAAAGAAGAGATTGACTGAGGCACCGGTACTTGCATTACCCAAACAAGGTGTGGGGTACGATGTCTATAGCGATGCGAGCATCCAAGGGCTCGGATGTGTACTGATGCAGAATGGGAGGGTAATCGCCTATGCTTCACGACAATTGAAGAAGCATGAGGTGAATTATCCTACTCATGATTTGGAGCTCGGGGCAGTGGTATTTGCACTGAAGATATGGAGACATTATCTCTACGGGGAGACATGTCACATATACACTGATCACAAGAGCTTGAAGTACGTGTTTACTCAGAAAGAGCTAAACATGAGACAGAGACGGTGGATGGAGCTGATAAAAGACTACCATCTAGTGATAGAGTATCACCCAGGCAAGGCAAACGTGGTGGCAGATGCTTTGAGCCGGAAGAGCTCGTCTGGGGCATTGATAACTAATTTGAGGGCATTAAGAGCCCAACTGGAGGTAACCAGCGATGGTGCCTTATTGGCACGATTTGAGGTGAGACCCACTTTACTTGATGAGATCAAGAAGGGTCAGGAAGCCGACGAAGAACTTATGAAGGTCCGGGAACGCATGCAAGCGGGGCCGGTAGAGGATTTCAGGGAAAGAGATGATGGTCTCTTGTTATTTCGTGACCGAGTGTGTGTACCGTCAGATGATGAGCTCCGAAAGTCCATCTTAGAGGAGGCTCATTCATCGGCTTATGCCATGCACCCGGGGGGCACGAAGATGTACCGTGATTTGAAGGAAAGTTACTGGTGGTCTGGAATGAAGAGGGAAATAGCCGAGTACATCAGTCGGTGCCTTACTTGTCAACAAGTTAAGGCAGAACATCAGCACCCAGCAGGCTTATTGCAACCACTCTCCATCCCTGAATGGAAGTGGGAGCACGTGACTATGGATTTCGTGGTAGGCTTACCACGGACTATCAGGAACTATGACGCGGTTTGGGTCGTTGTGGATAGGCTCACAAAGAGTGCACACTTCTTGCCTATCAACACTACCTACCCACTTGAGAGGTTAGCCAAATTGTATACGGATGAGATCGTGAGGCTGCATGGGGTCCCGGTGACCATTGTATCTGATAGAGACCCACGATTCACATCACGTTTTTGGCCAAAATTCCAGGAGTCTATGGGAACGAAGTTGAAGTTCAGCACTGCTTTCCATCCACAGACGGATGGGCAGTCTGAAAGGGTTATACAGATCCTAGAAGACATGCTGAGGGCTTGTGCATTGGAGTTCCAGGGGAGTTGGGACAACCACTTAGCACTTGTGGAGTTTGCCTATAACAACAGTTATCAGGCAAGCATCGGCATGCCTCCATACGAGGCATTGTATGGGAGGAGGTGCCGTACACCGTTATGCTGGGACGAGGTTGGCATGGCCAAACTCGAGGGTACTGAGTTGGTGGAGGTCACCAAATCAAAGGTGAAGTTGATTCGAGAGAGACTCAAGGCGGCTCAGGATAGACAAAAGAGTTATGCAGATAAGCGTCGAAGAACCTTAGAGTTTAAGGTTGATGACGAGGTATTCTTGAAAGTTTCTCCTTGGAAAGGGATCATTCGGTTCCAAACCCGAGGAAAACTTAACCCACGATATATAGGTCCATTCAGAATTATAGAGAGGATTGGGGCCGTTGCATATCGTCTACAATTGACTCCTGAGTTAGAGAAGATACATAATGTGTTTCATGTATCCATGCTTAAGAAGTACGTGCATGATCCCTCTCACGTATTGGAGAAGCCACCTGTAGAGGTACGTGAGGATTTGAACTACGCTGTTCAACCTATCAAAGTCACCGATAGAAAGGTGAAGAAGCTGAGGAGCAAAGAAGTCCCAATGGTTAAAGTCCTGTGGAAGAGCGATCGGGTCGAGGAAGAGACATGGGAAACAGAGGCTTTGATGAGGAAGCAGTATGCTTTCCTATTCGAGTAGAGCTGTGAATTTCGGGGACGAAATTCCTGTTAAGGGGGGGTGAACTTGTGACACCGCACCCGAACGTCCTTGAAAATTCGATTTAAAAATTCAAAAGTGATGTATTGAATTTCCGATTTCAAAGCAATGGAAGAAACGATTAATATTTTACGAAGTACATGATTGAATATTGTATTGTTCAAACCCGCATTCTTTTGTAATTTTCATCATGTAAATTATTGGGATGAGCCTACACATATTGGAGATCAATAATGTGATTTAGGAAGTTGACTTGCTCTAAATAAATTAGAATGAGTACAAAAAAGGACATCTTTTGACAAAGATAAAACAATAGGACCCATCTTCCCATTTTTGGAAGTATTGGTAGATATTTTGGACCCCAAATTAAATGGGATCATTTGGGAACCATCCCACATGACCTTGGTACCTGCAAAGACAAAGAAAAATGGACGAGACAACTATGTGGGGCGGACTTTTGACTCATGAGCTACAACATTACAAAAAGGAAATAAAAGAGGAGGTCCATACCATGTTTGATTGCAATCAAATACCCCACCTTTCTTTTTGTGAACCACATGCTCTCTTAGCATGATTGAGGCCTTCCTAATACATTTCCCCTACACCCCATTCGAACTCCCAAGATAAGAGAGAAAGAGGGAGCCACATATTCCAAGGGAGAAGAGAAGAGAGAAGCTGGCCGCAGGATTCGTTTTCCAGCCGATAGGGTCTCTTGTTTGATCCATAACTTGAGCTTCACTCGTCCAAATAAGGCGTATGATATACCAAAAGAAAGCTCTCAAGACGAGGAATCTGTGAAGGCCTGTTTTGCAGGAATCGGAGTTGTGGAAGGCTTCCAAATCGTCCGAGAAAAACGCAACCTCGCAGGAGAGGATTTAATCTTCTAAAGTGAGTTTTAACCCCAAAGCTTTACTTTTCATTCTCCAAATGATATGAACGATTGGTGAGACTATTATACACTAATCCAAGTGTATAATATGTCCTTATAAAGTTATTTTATTGATGTAAAGGTTAGATACTAACCTAGATGCAAATATTGGAAAACTAGGAATCGAGTTAGCCGGAAAACACCCGTTCTAGGGGCTGTTTTCGTATCAACGATTAAGGGTTGAACTAGCACTTTGAGGAGGCTGTTTAACACTCATATTTGAGCAAGGAATCAGTACCAAATCCACCTTGACCAAAGATTTGACCATTGGACCATGAAGGGAAAGTTTAAAGCTCAATTGAGGTGAGGATTGACATCTAATTGCTTACAACTTGTAGGTTAAGCATGAGATTACCTAAATGCTTAAATCATTATTTTTCATGGATTATGATGATTATATATTGATGAAATATTGATATAGTTGCCAAAGAATGAAATTTGAAATGATTTGAGAATGTATGAATATTATGAGATTAAATGAGTATAAATGGACTATTTTTGTGAAATAGGCATTTTGCTCATGTATGAATTATGTGGTTACATAAATGAATATTTGTGTATTGAGAGTGAATACTTAAGTTGCTGCTACATAACTATAAATATGTAGAGAATTACAAATAATGAGGATAATGGTATGATAACAATAATCTTAATAGTATTGAAATACTAGTTAGTGATTATTGGAACTTGTTGATTTAATTGATCCTAGGGATTGGATTGTATGAAAGGTACTTGAATATAGTTCAAGTGTATATGATACTTAGTATGGAACTAAGGTTAAGTTATGGGAAGTCTTTAAGGATGACCCATGGTAGTTTAATGATATGTCAATTCTAGGCATAGGGTTGCTTGAGAATTGGACCTTAATGCATGGTGATGTGATAGAGCCGAGCTCTAGAATGCATGTAAGGTGTAGACTTGGAGTCTATGTATTGTATAGCTAGAGCCGAGCTCTAGGACTTGCGTGGTGATGTGATAGAGCCGAGCTCTAGAACGCAAGGTAGGAAAATTGACCCGAGGTATATGAATTGTATGGTGATGTGGTAGAGCCGAGCTCTAGAATACAATGTCATGTACTAGGGTTGGACTCTAGGAGTTGTCGTGGCTTATAGTCACGGGGTTGGGAATGGTGATTTCCAAATGAACATGGGCCCACAGGCCGGCTACTTGACTTTTATATAAAGTAAGTATATTTTTTTAAACGGGGTAACTTAGGGTTACAATCATAATGTACTATCACCCTATTTGAGGGTCTTGTGTTTGAAATACTTGTTGTATATCTATTAGATGCCTGCCACACCAGCACTTTATAGCCGTATAGAGTGCTGACCCCTTCGGGGGCGTCCCACCACCATTTTTCAGGTTGAGGCTAGAGCTTGCTTCCTGTGCTCGTTGCTCGAGAGATCATCTAGGAGCGAAGACTTGGTTCGTGCTTCCTCCATTCGGATTTTAAACATTAATAAACATGCTCATGGATATTTTATTATAGAGCCTGCGTGCTCATGAATAGCCCTATGTGGCCCTTTCGTTTTAAACAATGTTTTCCGCTGCTTTATGAATTACTTATTTTGTTGTTTATGGATGACTTATGTGTGAATGATATTCATGACGCCTTGTATAATATGAATGTGTTGGACTGCGGTTGACTATTCGTATTGTACGGCGGGTTGTCGACGTGTCCGGGGAGGTCCGGGGCGTGACAAGCCGAATCAAAGGGTACTTGGATAACCAATTCAGTATCAAAGACTTGGGTACACTGAAGTATTTCCTAGGAATTGAGGTTGCTCGTTCTCCCGAAGGATTTGTGTTAAGTCAACGCAAATATACACTTGATATCCTAGAAGAAAGCGGTCTTCTAGCCGCCCGACCCAGTCAATTTCCAATGGAACAAAATTTGAAACTACGACCAAATGATGATAGCCCACCTGTAAATGCATCCTCATATCGCCGCTTGATCGGTCGCTTGTTGTACCTTACAGTCACTCGCCCCGACATTGTCTTCTCTGTTAGCCAGCTTAGTCAATTTCTCAGCCAGCCACACCAGTCTCATTTTGATGCCGCCATACGAGTTCTTCGCTACTTAAAACAAACTCCGGGACAAGGATTTTCTTATCTGCGAATAATGATTTCGGTTTAAAAGGTTATTGTGATGCTGACTGGGCAGGATGCTCCTACACTAGTCGGTCTAGCACTGGATATTTTATCACTCTCGGCGATTCCCCGGTCTCTTGGAGGACTAAAAAAACAATCTGTTGTTTCACGTTCTTCGGCAGAAGCAGAATACCGTGCCATGGTTGTCACAGTTAGTGAAATTTTATGGCTACGATGGTTACTTCGAGATCTAAGTATTCCTCAAACAGGTCCTACACCCCTTTTCTGTGATAATCAAGCAGCTCGACACTTCGCACTCAACCCTGTTTTTCATGAGCGTACCAAGCATGTAGAAATGGACTGTTTTTTTGTTCGTGAACGTGTTACTAGTGGAGAAATCCAACCATGTTGTATCACTACAACACATCAGATTGCTGATATTTTTACTAAGGCGCTTGGCACTGATCGTTTTCAGTTCCTCAGGAGCAAGTTGGGTGTTCGCAACCTTCACACGCCACCTTGAGGGGGAGTATTGTGAGATTAATTACTATTAAGATTATTTACCTCATATGATTTGCGTACCATGTGCGATGTTTCCTTATTAATAAGTATGTATACATGGGTACATGTGATGGATGACCCATGCATTATTCTCTCCTATCATTCACACCGCCTATTGTAATATCTATATATGTAGCATGCATGTCATGGAAGATACAAGTTACGTATCATTCCTTTAACATGAAGTCTAGCTCTCCAAATAATAGCTCTTATTTTTATCATTAGTTTTATGTCAATTTTAACAGAGGTTGCCGTTGGTATTAGCGCTTGAGGCCTTCGTAGCATCATGTTGTCGTCTGTATTGTTCTAAGGGTAAATTGGATATTTAAAATTATTTTATTTATTGATATTTAATTTAGGGGTTGTACTTAGTAAACTGGAGGCTGTGAATAGAACTTCCCAAACGCAAAAGTTACGTTATACTTAATATTATATTCAGGGCCGGTCCTAGGGGGAGGACAGCAGGGGCGACCGCCCTAGACCCAAAAAAAAGTAGAAAGAAAATTAAGCCCAAGTTTGTTTCTTATATGTAATCTGACTAGGCATATTTTTTTATTTATAATTTCCATTAATTAATTAGCCCTAATGTGTAATTTTTGTTGACAATTTGAAAATTTTAAAGCATAACTAAAAACTCTTGACCAGAGCTAGACAAGTTTTAAAAAGAATATAAATTTAGTTTTGATTTTTAAATAGAGTTAGTTGTAAGTCAACACATTTGTTGTTGAATCAATAAAAGCACGTCTCTTCACATCTTTTTAACCTTTAAGACTTTTTATTCTTTTTAATTACAAAATTACCGATTTATATTATTGTCTTTGGATTGCTACTGCCTCCCAATTCTCAAACATCATCTCAATCATCTATTATTTCTCAAAAAACTTAATGGATTAGTAATTTTTAACATTACACATGTGATCTTGAAAAAAAGATTGATTATCAAGCAATTATTAATGATTTTACTTCACACTGTTCTTTTGTGATACTTGTGTTGTTACTTTTTGTCCAAATATGTAATTCAAATAATATGAAGGTGAATTTCATCTTTATTTTATAACCTTTATTAGATAGTTGTAGGGAGAATTCCTTAAATAGGATTTTTTTTTAGAATTTCAAAATAGGACTGTCATATGTTTATTTTCTGAATATGAGTAATTATTGTCATATTCGGAAAATACTACCATGTGTGAAGTATGATACTGTCAAAATATGACAGTAATTACTTCTATTTAGGGAATAAAAACATTATAATCTTAGTTTGGAATATACAAAATGTTTTTAATCCTATTTAAAGTAATTTCTCATAGTTTTATTATACTCCGTAATTTTTATTTTAAGTGAGTATAATTTACGGTTTGTCTTGAAAATAAGACCAAAACACGACAGGATCGGCCCTTATTATATTATATATATCGCTCGGTCACAACTTAACAGAGGCATGCATAATACGGAGTAACGTGTAAAATAATGACGAGGCCAAAGACATGCAGCCCGCCGGCGGCCAAATATAGCTAGCCGTAAATAGTACAGTGGCGGAATAAAAAGTACCGGAGTACTACGTATATCTCAACGTAATTAATTAATTAATTAAGCACATGATGAACATCAAAACATGTATATATATTACTACAAAAAACACGGGATTGACAGAGATATTTTACATGAATTGAATTTTTCAAAATTGACAAGGATTTTGGTAGGGAAGTGACAAATCTATGCCAAAAACAATTTGGCACAAGCTATTTGGCACGAAAATATCGATAAATCTGTACCGAATCCGTGTTAATCCCATAATTTTTTTGTAGTGTCCGTACTAATAATTAATTAAGTTAGGAGAAATATTATTGTTGAAATTGGGTCCAAAGGCCCTTCCTCACTCCGGCCACCATGCACATGCATACATGTCGCGCGTCAATCATCATGATGATGAGGTTTGCCTATTCAATTGGGCTTGGGGTACACACACCTACACACTATAAATAAGCCCAAAAATTACCATTTTTTTACCCCTCCCTCCCTCACGTGAAATTGCAACCCCAGCCTCTCTCCTCTCTCCCCCTTCATCGTTTCTTTCTTCTTCCGGCAGCACATCGACGCCAGCACCTCCTCTCATCAAAATCAATGGATTTTGGTAGCTATGTGAAGGAAACAATCATTGGACGATGCTTCTCGAGCTGAAGGAGAAATTCCGGCGGCTGAAGATGACGGAGAAACGGCGGCGGCCGCCTTGGACGACATCTCTGAGCTTGGTATGAGTGTGTGTTGAGGTTAGATTGTTTATGTAATTGAATTGATTTCATTGGCTTAGCTTTGAACATAAATATATGTTTGTTCTTTAGAGACAATTCTTTGTGTTTGTGTAATGTTTGTGTGAAGTGTATAATATTGTTTATGTGTTTGTGATGTGTATATAATCGTGTCCGTGTTTTAAATGTTTTAAATTTACTTATGTCTTTGTGTAAATAAACTTTTATTTGAAATGTCTGTGTGTAAATATAGTTCTGTCTGTGTGTGTATATATTTCTGTCTGTGCATAAGTATGCCAGTGCCTGTGTATGCACATTTAGCCTGCATGTGTGTATATATACTTCTGAAATGTGCGTACTTGGTGTGTGGGTTTTGACTAGAGCGGGTTTGTTCTGCATTGGAGGCGTTTTCACTTCCTCAGTCATGGATTGCGTGCATAATAATTTTCTAAATGAAATGATTTTTTTAATTGAATTCTTTTCGTAGTTAGTCTAGTATATTTACTGTTATCAACTTTCCATGTCTTCTTTTAACATAATTTGTGGAGAGGATATCGTGCCTTCCATGATCTTTGTGAGTTTTGGCCATTCTTGGGAGAATGATAATGAGTTGGTGTATGTACTAGTACCCTAGAACCCCGTGGTGGTGTATGATTTTCTTTATCCTTGGTACTAGTTTGTTCATTTACCATTTGAGTGAATCTTTCCGGTTTGAATATCCAGGGGATCCTAATGACATGATTAATTGCAGTGCTTTAGATTTAAATTTTAGTTTCATGTAAATGTCCATGCATGTATTTTCACAGACATTTATGTATAAAGACACAAACAAAGTCTTTGGTCTTCACAGACACAAAATGTGTTTCTGGGAGATATTAATGTCTTGGCTACATATATACGTATTTAAACTTTTTTTGAAAGTCAAATTTTTTTTAAATGAAATTTTGACCATTTTACATTAATGTTACCGAACTAAATGCTTCAAAAAAGAATATCGTTTAATTCCCGTATCGTACTTAACTAACTAGGCAATGGATTACATATACTAGTAGTTTTTAAACTAGTTATTTAAATAAACAAGTCAAGTTTTTAAAATTAAACTAATAATCTGTAATAAATATAATAAATGTAATCAAAGTCAAGTTTACACATGGGCTCAAGTGGTAATCAAAGTCACAAATGTTTTAGTTATTAAATTACATAAAGTAGTTATTAAAAATATCTTAAGTGGATGCAAGAGCGCATACATAGCACAGACAACTACGACACAAATCACAGACAAAGTCGTATTACAGCACAAACAAGATGTTTCTTCTTCACAGGCAAAGGCATCCCTCATATATATATTAACACCATAAACAGCAAGTGTTTGCCACAAAAACAAAAAGGCATACCAATTCAGGTAATATTTGGGAGTACATTCTTTGGACAACATTGTTAGTGTAACATTGTACAACCTCCGACATTTAACAACCAAACCCATGGTGGCAAAAAATGAGCACTAAAAAATGTATATAGTAAGGTTACATCATTGTTTTACAACCAAACTCATCCTACACTAAACATGTTCCTCAAAGTAGTCTAAGAGCCTCATTGTCTAAGTGGATGTTCCTTAGTCCAGAGCCTCATTGCAAATTCATATCTTTTCACTGCCACATTCTCATATGCACACTCGGGCTGCAATGGCAAGATACATTCCAGGAGAGGTATAAATCGATGGAACCCAAACCAAGCATCCCCAGCATATATAAAAACCAGCTACAAAGACAAAAGTCAACATGCCACAAATTGTTAAACCATCCATATTTGTTTCAAATATACAAATGATGAAAGCTGGAAGATGAGAAAGGGGGGAGTACTGAGAAGTATTTGTGGAATAGGAAAAAAGAGAAACAGTCAAACATAAAACCTCTGTCATGAGCAATATCCATCGTGTTCCAATACCCAGCTTCCCACTAGAAGAACTTTGTTATGTACACCAACATCAGTACAGTATTCACAAGCATGGAATCATCAACTTTTCCATATTCTTAGTACTGGGAAGTCCATGATGAACAAACATTAAAAAAACATGATCAATTTTCAATCATCTGCTTTATAAGTATTATTTCAAGTTCATTGATATCCGGTCACTAGGGTGAAGTAATCTTCAAGAAATATGCAACAAGCATGTACCACATCACCAAAAGTACCTAAGATAACTAAAAAGATATAAAAAGTTTAGATGTGAAATAAATAGGCAAGTTTTTATAAAAAGTCACATGCGAAAAATGCTTACTTAATATCATTGTCAAGGATAGTTTAGAAGTTTCACTTGTTTTATGCAGTAAGTGACAGCTAGAACTGCCCAAGACATCATGCCAAATCTGTCGTTTGTGAAAACTTTGATATCAAAGTTTGATATGAAACTTTGCCAATATGAGGATATAGTTCCATCCCCTGCATTTAAAAAATATAGGGCCTTCAAATTACATTATTATTAAAATAATAATATACAGTTTCTTCCAATTAGGCAATTACTTCATTAGTACTTCAATAGGTTCTTTTATAAGTTCTGTATTTAGGTATTCTGCCAATTAACTTTTGTTGTAATAAGAGAATAACTATGAATAGAATCAATGAAGAAAGGAAACATGAGTAAGGTAATAATAAATACTAGTAATAAACTTGACATAACAACAAACAGTGGCAGCTAGATCGTGAACTCAAATAAGCTTACCCAGTAGAAGTCAACAATTATGTTTCCTAATGAACCAAAATCAGAGGAAGATGGTGCAACATGACCCTATTATAACAGACATATGTTATAAGTCACACAGACAAGCATTCAGCTAGATACAGACAAAGAATCAGTCACACAGACAATCATATTACTTACACAGACATATGTAGAGTCATACAGACAATCATATTACTCACACAGACATATGTAGAGTCATACAGACAATCATATAAGTCTCCACAGACAAATGGAGCCACAACCAATTACATATACTCATACAGGCAAATAACTAGACAAATCTATCTTCACACAAACAATACATATGTCCTTCAAAATGCATAAAATTAACTTCACACAGACAATACTAGAAAGTAATGACATATCTCCAAACAAATGTATATTGTTCAAAATCCAAGCACTAGATGGGTTCCAAAACTTCATACACAAAAATATTTTCTGAACCATCCAAATAAACATCATAAATTGCCGAAAATTGTAAAAAAACCAATGATAGAGGATACATACCTTTCGGCCAAGGAAGAAAGTCGGGTTCACACCATCTTTGACTGAGACGAAATCAACGTCTTCGATGGGAGGTTCGCACCTTGGAATGCGCAGCGACGATGGTCTCCTTGGACGGAGGTTGGCGGGGAGGAGGTTGCCTTCGATGGGGGGTTGCCGGGGAAGAGGGTTGGCTTCGTCGGGTGTTGGCGGCGACGAACAGCTACCAGCGACGACCAGCGACGGTGATTAATCGGAAGACCAAAGCAAAATTGATAGGAGGAAGAAGGGGAAGGTTGTGGTCGTTCGAAGGAAGGAGAAGGTGGGGATGAGCGAAAAATTTGGGAGGCAGAGTAGTGCCGTACGTGTGAATTGGAAGAGGTGAGGGAAGGGGGTAAATTATTTTTAGGGGTATTTATAGTGTGTATGTGTGTGTATAAAATTTGTGTAACAATAGAGTTTGTGTTGCCTATTACACAACCCGCAATCCCACAAGCAATGAGGACCAAGACCATGAATACTCCCACGCAGATGATCGCGGATTTCCTCTGATCAGTATCTATTATTATTTATTGAATATTGTATATTTGTATGTACTACGTAAATATATGTGTGTCATACGTAGTATATGTTTAACGGAATTAATTTGTATTATATATATATATACTCCTTATATACATGGATATGTGTGTACGGCAGTACGGGTGCTTAATTAGCTTCTTCGATAGTAGCGCTCACGTCGTGGATAAGGCGGCTACTAATCACGCTCCTATCAGAATTTTCACTTTTGTTCCACATTGTATCCTAAACATTATTAATGATGAAATGAATTGAGTTTTTCTTGTCAAAAAAATAGCTTCTTCAATCATTAATGTCAGCCAACCCCGACCCCGACACTTCATCTTTGAACCGTTCCGATGCTTCCTCTCGAGAAATCAACTGTCAACAACCCCCAATTCGGATAATTTTCATGGAATTAACATGGTATTGCGGACAAAATAGAATGAATCAAACAATTGATTAATTTATGTCGTGGAAGAAGATGGAGTAACCGACTGAAAGGCGGATCCTGCTAGGGAGTTGCAGATGTGTCAATGAATATAACCTCTTTTTAGACTTCCACTTTGATGGACGGTCTACCCGGGGGGTAGCTTATCCGAGGGGTTATTGCGGGAATAACTAGAGAGAAGTCAGAGCAAATAGGAGGAGAGAGAGTCGATTTTATTAAATGAACTGAGCATGTGTTGGGATGTGGATTGTTTACAAGGAGAAATGGGCTGCTATTTATAGCAGCAATAAATGCGATGAGGGTACACGTGTCAGTAATCCAACGGCCAAGGGGTCACATCAATCGGGGTGGCACCGGCAGTGGCATGTTCACCGCATTGAATGTGGTGGGTGGATGTGACGTCGCATTAAATGCGGTGGTTGGTTGTCCCCAAAGGGAATCTTCGATGATTGAGTCTGTTAGCCGAAGGCTCCTTGCGTAGCCGAGGGCTTCACGTGGCCGAGGGCTCTGCGTAGCCGAAGGCTTGGTTCAGCCGAAGGCTTCTCTGATGTCGAGGGCTCAACAGTGCCGAAGGCTCCTGTTTTCTGCCGTTTTTTTCCAGTAGCTTCGTATGCCAAGAAAGGCTATGTTTGTGAGTTTTGGAGCCTTCGGCCAAGGTGGCCGAAGGCACCCCGGTGTGTATTTCGGGCTTCCTTGAACTTGGGCCACTGTATTTGGGCTTCAGATGCTCCTTGGGCTCAATGGGCCATTTGTGGGAGAAGTAGGAGTCTATGGGCCGGGGGTCCCTGGGCCATATACTCCATCAGGAGTCCCTCACTCCTTTTGCCGAAAGGTACTTGAGGGAAAAGGAGTACTTGCGTTGATCCTCCCGAGGGCTGCGTTGTTTCGTTGGGCGACTTTGATTGATTGAGCATTTGTCTTCTGCTGTTTGCCGAAGGCTTCCCTCAGTCCCTCACATGTCGAGGGTTTTCTGAGGAAAGTGTACATGAC